AAACAAAATTATTTAGGTGACTAATTACAGGTATAATCAATTTGTTTTCTAGAGAGTATATGTTTTTTTTTAAGAAAGAACTCTAAGGCAGTGGATTAAGAGAGTTATTTGCATATAAACTTGCAAGAACGTCTTCTCATAAAAATCAGAGCAGATTAGTGAACATGCTAGCGATACTGGAAGTTGAAGGGAGTCACAGGAGGAAGATGATGTTGTGGCTTTAGTGGTGGAGGAAATCACGAGAATCAGTTGAAGATCAAATCCCTTAAACAATGCCAATGATCATGAGGTGGATTCCGTTGCTTTTATAAGTAAAAGTCTGAGTAATTGTTGTCTCGTGATGGTCTGGCTCAACTTGAAGAACCCCTTTCAGCTGAGCCTGTAATGCCTAAGCTCAACTTGTCTGGCTCAGAAGACATATACATCAAGGGCCCTTTGTTCTTAAAAGGGAGTATTCCTCTCTTTCTCTACAAGAGGTTAAGGAATGTGAGGGTGGCTGTAAAGTAAAGATAACAGTGGGGATGGAAAGGGACCAGAGGGAGGATTCAGTTTTTCCGAGGAAGGGATGGAAAGGAGCTGCTCGGAAGAATAAATCATCAAGAAATTGAACAGTATTGAATTTTCTACTGTACAGCCAGTCTACAATTTTTCAGTCTTGAGCTTTTTCCTTTTTTCTGCTCACTTTAGCATAACTTGGCTCTCTCTCTAATCTTTCGGCTCCTGACATTGTTTGCTATAACTTTGTATAATCGGATTGACGTAAAACAGCCTAGGATTTATGTGCTTGTATGAAAGATTGGAGCTTCATTTCAAACAATGGTTGCTTTTAATGTTTTGTTAAGGAAATTGAGTGTTTAATTAGGAGAAATTTTAAGGATAATGAGAGTATATTGATGTAATAATTATAATATAACAGCCATAATATTCATTATTATTAATTTATCACTCATGCTTTCCTCTTCTTTTCATAAAACTATGTAGATTACTTCAATTGGTTTCCTTTTCCATTTGTTTAACCAAGCCATCCTTTTTCTTCTTCTTCTTCTTTTAACAGTACAAGGATGCCATGCAGCTGGTTCTGATTAGTTAGCTGTAGATCTATCTTAATTGAATACTCGTGGGTAGCCTTGTAAAAATGTTTATGAAACAATGGGATAGAGCTAAATCCAAAACGAGACTTCCAGAAGGGAGTGTGATTGTCTTTTTTTAACAAGTTCTATGCTTGTCGACCAATTAACTAACTTCTGATTGCAACCTGATCTTGTTACAGTTGCACATAATGCTGCTTGTCTGCCCATGGCTCTTCCATCAAATGTAACCCGAGGATACTGCACCTCCCATTCTTCACCTGAGAAGTGAGCAATACAATCTACTGCACAGATTGAGTGCACAACTTCGAGTAACAATCGAGGACAGGAAGACATGGGAAGCATGCAGAGAAGCTCTGTATTTGATTTCAGTGCTGAGGGGAGAGACGAGATACCTGGAAAGCATTTGGCCACTCCAATTCTCCTTACTAGCTAGGGCGACCAACGAAAACAAGAAGTCCCCAACTATGAAATTGTTTGTGAGACATTGGATTATCTGAAGAGTCTTGGACTCATAGATGATGAAGATGATCTCTACGAGTTTCTTAAAACATTTCCCGGAGCCCTAATTGGCTGTAGCCTCGAACATGAATTGAGAAGTGATGTGAAGATCCTGGAGAAGGATCGGGGAATAAAAGGAAAATTAATCTCTTCAAAAACTTCTTCTTCGAAATGTTGATTGAAAAGGAGATTGTTTCAAGCATAGATAAAAGCTCAAACACGAAGCCCACTCACATGCCTTGATCCAGTTTTGTACACTATGAAAAGCTCATATTTTGTGTGAAGTTGTCGTCATCACAATTCAATGTTGTTATGAGTAAAGATCTGTCAGATTTTGTATGCATATCGTCGTGTTGGATCACATTCTTGATATGTTACCATCTAATATTGTACATCAAGTCACATGCACCTGGAATAGCACAGTACTCTTTCAATGTCATGTAGCTTGTGAATTTGCTGTGGACATGTAGATGAAAAAAGAAACCCTTCATGACAGTTCCTTCAACGTTTTTAACCACAGACAGATACTGCACGCCATGCCTGCCTGTGCATTCATTCAAAGTCAGGAAACTCCGGCACCTTGGCGCCTGGAACAAAATAACCACAGCACTTTGGAGTATGTTCTGCAATTTCTTGTTTCTTTAATAAGCTGAATAGATGCTCCAAGCCCAGCCCCATGGTTGTAAATGTGTTGCAGAGAAAATTTGCTTAAGTTTTTGAACAAATAGAAGGAAAATATTAGTTGCATGTCCTTATCCTAATCAATCACCCACTTCTGTGCCCATTAATATCCCAGAACTATCCAGCTAAATCAAAGCCGTTCCTCCCATAATTGTTGAAAAGCAACACGGGCCATCCAACCATGAATGGCAAATTGCAACCTAAAAGAACCCTAAAAGGACTATAGCCCTTGCTAGTTAAAACAATAAAGTTTAGCATGCCCATATGATAAAGGTGGTTTCCACTACTCAAAAGCTTTGGACCTGCTCGGCAACATTTTTCAGAGTTGACAGAAAACATAATTTGTTCATATATATATACACACGCACTCATGCTTCTCGTTAGTAATTGATATGGGATTTCTTCACTCACTCGCATATGAAAGTTAACAGCCTCTCCTCACCATACACGAGTCCTTCAACATCCACATCAAATCCAACTCTCTTCGATAAAAGCCCTATCACTCTCTCTCTCTCTTACTCGACCATGCATGGCTGGTGGAGAAATCATGAGAAGTGCACAACATGCTCAATAATTGGAAGGCAAATGATGTGAGCTCAACCAACCACATCACCTCTTGTTTCAACCGAACATCTCACGCCGCCATGACTCGTCAGGGGAAATATGCACTGGATAGTCTAATTACTTCTTCATTAAGCTGCATGTACAAAGATTCATAGTTGGTGAGCTACGGTTGAAATCGTGTTTTGTTATAATTATAATTTTTAAAATATTTAGTTAATTTACAGTTTTATCTAAATTTGTTTGATAACTTTCCATTAAAATTAATCTTGATTATTAAAAACACACACACACACAATAATCATAACTATAAGTCAAAAGCAAGAACACATTTATGCATATTGATGAACACTATTTTCAACTCAAAAATCTAAATTGTGGTGAGTTATGGTTAAAAGCGTGTTTTGTCATGATTAGAGTTTTAAAATATTTAATTAATCAATGCACATCATAGTTTTACTCAAGTTCAATGGTAACTTTTTCTTGAAATTAATCTTGGTTATAAAAATATAAAAAAAAAACACAATAATCTTAATCACAAATCAAATTACCACAATAGCAAAAATACACTTATGCACATTGATGAACATCATTCTCAGCTCAAAAACCCTAAGTTGTTGGGTTATCTTCTTTTATAAGCATATAATAATATTGTCATGCCTAATCTTGTAACTAGATCTCTTTCTTTTAAACTTTTTTGTTTGTTAACAAAAAAGAGGTTTAAACTTGAGAGTTTTGTAAAGAACATTAGCATTAATGGCGTAACTTACTAGCTTTAATTAGACCAGTTAATCAACACACATATAATAGTTTTATTCAAGTTTCAATGATAACTCTCTCTTGCAATTAATCTTAATTATGAAAAAAACACAATAATCATAATTACAAATTAAATTATCACGATAGCAAAAACACACTTGAGCACATTTGCACATTGATGAACACCAGTTTCAAGACAAAAATCTAAGTCGGTGGGTTATTTACATCTATAAGCATATGACAATTGTCATTCTTAATCTTGTAACTAGATCTCTTTCTTCTGAACTTTTATATTTGCTTACAAAAAAGAGGTTCAAACTTGAGAGTTAGCATCAATTACTTAACTTACTAGCTCTATTAGACTAGTTGATCACATGAAATATAATGGCTTCATCTTTTAACCATAAAACTCACGAAGTGTGAACCACTGAATTTTAACATCTGGGATCTTACTTAATCATTACATTAGTGGCTAAGATCTTGCATTAGTACAACAGAGCTGGGAAGTCTGTTGGAGATCACACTAATTATCATGCAATTGTACGTAAAAGGCAACTTCATCATTATAAACACTACCACGATTCAGTCCCAGTACAGTAACCTTATACTGTCTTTCCTGTATCTCTCTCTATTTTGAAGTGTTTTCCTATCCTAAGAATGGTCAGTACCAAGACAACATTTATCATGGCAATACTTTGCGCCTGGCCCTAATATACGAGGTACATGTTCATAGAGCCTGTTAGTTTCTGAACATCAGCAGTACAAATGATTTTTCTCTGATCGTTTCTGTTTGTGCATCATTTTCCCTTTTTCTGATAGTTCTCCATGTATAGACCTCACACCATATTAATGGCCACCCCAGCCCCTTTTCTTGAGCTAATTCTTGCTTTGCTCTAAGCAAATATTCTTCCAAAATTGGACCAAAGGACCTTTATTGTGCTATAATTTCATTGATACAGTCCTGAAAGGAAATTAAAGATATATGCCACCTCAACTGACTGTTTTTCTAGGGAAATATTAGTGGTTTCAGGACTGATCAGTACCTGCTGCTGCACTCTTGTTATTTTAAAACTGGACTGGGGTCACTGGATCCTTTTTGTAGACGTCTGTGTTCAGGTTTCTTTAATTCCTTCTTTGAGATTGCACGTTAAGGTTTCTTGAAACATTAACATGGTGACCGTGGCTTGTATACAAGCACAAAAGTTAAATGTGCCCTAATGTATTTAATGCACAGGTGATATGAAAATACCATGCATACATGCATGTGCTATGACACACATCTCTTCAACCTTGAACTCATAAAAAATGCTATGGCTAATCATTTACAATGTCTGTTGTAACCATCAGATTGCAAGTCCAAATGTGCACACAGGTGCAGCGAGGCATCAAGGTAGAAAATAAATGCTTTCATAATAAATGTGACTGTGACTTGCTCTCATATTATAAAGAAAGGAACAAACTCAATTAGATTAGGGCTATTATGCATTCATAATAGCCACCTAAATTGAGGTAACCACCTTACCAGTGCTTTTTAATGTTTTTCCTTTTTCCCCAAGGAAGTGCAGAATCTTTGCCTTTATCCTATTTCACTAATCAGAAAGAAAAAGAGCAGAGAGGTTCGAACAGAATTTGACAAAATACATACTGAGTATAAAGATGGAGACAAAATATATAATTACTTAATTATAACCAGAACAAATTCCTCTCGATGAGGCGTTAAAAATCCTCAAGCATAGCTTGATTTTATCCCCTTATTAGGTAACACATAGATTAACCAGCTAGGAAATAGTAGAATCAACATTCAAAAGACATTAGGATGTCCTGCACACCAGGAACTAAATAGTTGCATGAAATTTAAGGGCACTTGGGCTTGTTTCCATGGGTCCTAAGGCTTGCATAACATGGGCATGCACTCTTGTTGCCATAGGTACCTGGTGGAACACACCGGCATCTGTTGCAGCAAGTTTTGCATGCTCTGTGGCATACATTCTTTCTTGACGATGCCCTGCATCTCCTTGCGCATAAATAACCACAATCTGAAACACAGAAATGGAAAAGCTGGTGTCAGATTTTAGCTATGTCAATTAATAGTTGTAATAATGAGAAAGGATTCGATTGCATTTTCTTTTCCTCTCTTTTTTCCCTTGAAGACCATTAACAACATTTGCGCAGGAAAACCAGGCGCCTAAATTGCTTTGAACCAAAGCATTATATCAATTCAGGAATCCAATACATAACTTGATGACTTTTTTAGGTTAATAACGTTACAATGTAAATGCTTAAATAAAACTCAGACTATGTAAGTTGTGTCACGTTCTCTGCTGTGTTATTTCAAAGATAAAATTGGAGTGCGGAATGCCTAGAATGGAAAGCCAAAGGTGGTCTAGCCGCCATCAACATGGAAGATTATAATGTGCAATTTTGGTTCTTCTTTCCTTTGTAGTTGAGTGTCTTTGGAGGACACATGATGGCAGAGTGAGGATTACATTGTTCAAAATAGCCGCAGTTAAAAATTTATGTGAGAAATATTCACAACATCTTGAGGTAACAGACACCAAACTTACTGATTCTTTTAGGATAATGTTTCTTATCAATAGCTACCACATCGCTTTCTTCATCCATCTGCATCCAAGATGTGATTTGCATACTGGGAAACGAATGATGTAGAAAAAGGAAAAAATGGGCTTAAGTTGGAAACTAAAGGAGAGACTCACATTAGCTGGAGAATTTGCAGCGTTGCTAAGGAATGAATTCCCTACAAAAGCCTGCAATATATATCGAAGTACAAGTTATAATATTTAACATTGAAATTAAGTCTTTCAACATTTCTGCACAATTTACCTGAATGAGCAGGATGGAGATAAAAATCAAGAGTAGCTTCATCTTATGGCTAGCTCTGGTGAAGTGATAAGGTTGATGAAGAGTAATACGAGAGATAGTTTGCCAGAGACTTGCAGATACGTAGAAGAGAGTACTGGTTTATATAGACATAGAGTAGGCTTTATCTACCTTTGTCTTTAATGACTCACATGAAATGATTGTGGTAAATCACAGATTTTGTGTTGAGTGCAAGTGGGGAAATGCTAGCTTTGAGCAAAATAGACTAGTATCTCTCTTTTTGGATGCTTCTTTCACTTTAGTTTCATTGCTTTTTCTGTGTTGCTCATCTGAGCACAGCTGTTGATTCTTTGGATGGTGGTGTATGGACATGAAGGAAAGAAAAGAAATTGAGAGGTGGAGGAGACGCACGGGACCATCACCAGTTAGGCGAAATCTGTCATGGCATTGGTTCAGCTTTTGAGTGAGGGAGCCGTAAGTGGAGCACCAGCCCATGAAGCATTACAAATCTAGCAAAAGAGTCCTGCAAGCTTATTTTAGTAGGGACAGAAGGCTGCAAATTTGTTTTATTTTTTCTGGGTGCCTAGTTAATAGTGTCACTGAGGCAGAAACAGGATAGAATTACAGATGGTAAGAGTTAAAAATTTTCGTAAACAACTGTTTGTTTGCGAAAAAATAGTTTATTTTAAAAAATGAATTTTAAAAAAGTAAATTTTAAAAAAATAAATTATTTTTTAATATTTGATAATGTAATGAAAAATATATTGGAAAACAGATTCCAGTATTTGATTATATTATGGAAAATAAATCGGAAAATAATTTATTAATATTTTATTTTTTTCAAGTTTATTAAAATAATTAAAACAAAACTTACAAATTAAAAGGTAGAATAAGAATAAAATTGAAAAAAAAATATAATTTCATAAATTATCTCAAATAAAATAAATAATAATCAAAATAATAAAGATCAAATCTTAAAAATTAAAAAAATTAAAAAATTAAAAAATTAAAATAATAATAGTTAACATTTCATAACTTATTTCAAATAAAATAAGTAACAATTAAAAAAATAAGGATCAAATTTGATAAATAAAAAAATGATAAGAGAAAAACAAATAACAATTATAAAAATAAAGAACAAATTTAATATAAAAAATAAATATTCAAAACAAAATATATATAGCAATCAAAAATTTAATAATCAAATTTAATATAATCAGCAAATAATGTGATATTTTTAATTTTTTCATAATTTCTAGAAAGTATTTTTCATCTAAATTTTTCAGGAAAATATTTTATTAAAAACTTAGTCAAATTTTTTTAATTAAAAAATATTTTTTATTAATTAATTTTTATAATAATAAATAAATTTAAAAAATTTAAAAAAATATTTTTAAAAAAAACAAACAGAATTAAATCACAAAGCTGTAGACAGACTCGGAGAAGATCATTGCGATGTATTTGCAGAGATGGGCTTTTTTCCATGCCAACACGTACTAAAACTTCTTCCTTGCTATTAAAAAAAACTAAATTGACGAGGGGATATCACTTTGTCTCCTCACAAGATTAGAACAGTACCTTTTTCTTTTTTCTTTTTATTTTCAGTTCCGAGATTAATTTTTATAATTTATTTTAGTTTATATTTTAATATCATAGTAATTCTATTTCAACTGAATTATAGATTAATTCAGGTTTTTTATTTTATATTTAATTAATTTTTTTAATTTTATCCTTTACTATTTTAATTTATTTTAAATTAAATTTTATAATTTTTTATAATTTTTTATGTGATTATCTCAGTCTCATGTCTCAAGTTATATATTTTTATAAATTAATCAGTTGACTCAAGTTTTTATGAGTTCTTTTTTGTAACTGAGTTATTTTTTTCAATTTTTTTATGAGATTATCTCAATCTCATTACTCAAGTCAAAGGTTTAATAAATTAATTTGAAATTTTTTTAATTGATTTTTTCTAACTTTAACATTATATTAATTAGAAATTAAACTTCATAATTTACTTTTATTTTTTTTATTTGATTATATTGATTTTATAATTCAAATTTAACAAATTAACTTGGATTATCTCTAATTTTTTTTAATTAATTTTCTTCAGATTTATTCTTTAAAATTAGATTCATTAAAAAATGAGTTTCAATATATTTTTTATTTATTTTCTATCAAATTATCAAGTTATTATGTTTTAAGTTATTATGTTTTATAGATTAATATAGATTAATTTAAGTCAATCTATATTGTTATCTTAATTATTATTTTTTAAATATTTTTTTGAATTTTTTTAATCAAGCTATTTTTTCTTTTTATTGGTTAAGTTACGTTAAATTTATTAACTCAGTCATATTATATTAAATTAATCTTCACATGGTTAAAAAAAAATTGTTGAAAGTATATTAGCAACACCTAAAAAAATTTAATATTTAAAAAATAATAATTCAACACACAATATAGCAAAAGTAAATGATATAGTTTCAATCGTTTAGAACTACGTGGCCTCAATTGTGATGTGACAAAAGGCAAAAGAAGACTGACAACGAGATAGTTTCAATTGTTTAGAACTACTTGGCTTCTGCATATATATATATATATATGTATAAAGTAAGAGGCATTGGCTATTCACTATGTAGCAAGATTTATTGTTCTATGGATTAATATATTTTAGTGACATTTTTATCATTTACAAGGTTTATTTGATATTATTAAATTAAATTTAGGGTTTAAGGTTAAATCAATTTTTTTAACATAATAAAAAAACAAAATCATTCTTATAAAGCAAAAAACAATTGCCTGCAATCAACATCCAAGACCTTTTTAGTCTTTTAGTTTTTTAATAGCAAAATGACTAAATTATTTTTAATAGCAAAAACTCCTAAATTTATTGTTAAAGGCTTTTCTCTCTTTTCATTATAGTTTTTTTTTTTTATATTATTATCATGTAAGCTAAGAGGTGATTTGGTAATTTAGCAAATTTAAATATTATTAAAAAAAAATAGTTGATGCATGATTGCATACATTAGCACATGAGCGTTTCTATAAGTTTTGAACAAGGCATGCAACATCGTTCATTAGCCAAACACTTGAAATTTCAAGGCAGCATTGAAAAGTGCCAGGTATCTCCTCCATGCTTGAATGATGTGCGTGAACAACAAGCTACTGATTTGTTATTGATGACATTTTATTTTGTTTTTTTCTTTTTTCCTCTTTGATTCTCGCACCAAACCCTTCAACTTGGTTTTTCTTTGAATATAATCCTTAATTTTTTATTAGTGAATATTTTATTTGAATAATTTAGAAATTTTAAATTATTTTTTTAATTTTAATTATATTTATTTATTTTTTTTATAATCCCTTATTCTTTTATTTTATTTAATATTAATAACAGATTTCATCCTTATTTTTTATTTTTCAATTTAATCTCTCATTCTTTTATTTCATTTAATATTAATAGCAAATGTAACCTCATTTTTTATACTGCTACTTTTTTGTTTTTTTATCTTTTTCTTGATTTACTTTATTTTTCAATTTCATCTTATTATTTTATTTAATTTAATTTTTTTATCATATTTGATTCTCATTTATTTATTACTATTTATTTTAGTTTTTAATTTTAGATAGGGATAAAAAATCTCCTTTGTGATTTTTTTAAATTTACATTTTACAGGGTAAGTCAATCTAATGAGTTTCAAAGATTACATTTTGATTTTTTTTTTAGGTTTTTTTTTAAAAAATCAATTTTATCATTTGATATTATATTATTAAACTTTTAAATTTATGAGTTTTATATCTTATAAAATTACTCCAATCTTATATCCTAAATCACGAGTTAATCTTAGTCTTATTAACCCAGGTTAACTTAAAGTTTTGTTATTAAATTTTCTTTTTATTTTTGCTTTTCATTGTTTTGTTTGCCTAAAAGTTAAAATCCATTGTTTTATTTAAATTTTTTTATTTATAAATTTTCTTTTATTTAATTAATCAATTTTTTTAATTTGTTTTCAAATCATCCTTCAATATTTGTTTTACTAGTAATATTACTTTTTTCTTTATAAAATTATCTAATTTTTTTCTTTATAAAATTATCTAATTCTTATTCAATTTTGTTTTTGTTATGTTACTAGATTATTAAAACTTTTTACAAATATTTATCGGATTCCTATTTATAATGTTTACAAGCACTTTTTATAGGTTATTATCCCTTTTTTTATTGTTAGCTTTTTATTTTATAATTATATTATTAAATTAATTAATCATGAATCGATATAAATATTATTAAATTGATTAAATTTTTCCTACTCTCTTTTAAAAACGTTATCATCATCCAAACTTTTTTTTTTTTTT